ATTTTCCCTTCTATTTCTATTTGGCTATAGATTACATCCAACTGAAGCAAAAAGATTTTTCCTACTTTCTCTATACCCTACTCTTATTACTGACACTTTCCTATGAACTGATCCTCTGAGTTATTTGGTATCCACAAAGCCCAGAGTGTAAGTACTTTATATAGAAAACTTAGATTATATAGGTACTTTGTTTACTTATTAAAAACTGTTATTAAATTAGAATTCTTTTCTTTTCTTTTTATCAAACCCCAGAGTTGACCTATGGAATGTTGATCCCCATTCCCTATAAGGTAGCCACCAAGTGCCACAGATTCCTAGAAAGAGCTGGCGTTACTGCTATGCAAAATTAATTTTCTTTATAACAATGACAGCAATAGCTGACCTACAGAAGTAGGATGGTTGTTAATAAAAGGCTTGCATGAAAGAACAGGATGACTACCATAAAATGAACTCCTTTGTTCTGTTAACAAGTTGTATGGCACTTTTTTCCTTAGGAATAAGAGCACTGTATATTAGTGTATGCCAGACAGTAAAACTGGATAGTTTTAAGAAATGACTATTATTTGATAATGTTATAATGTGCATGTTTGTAGATTATTGTATTCCTTACTATAATTGCAGTGACTTTCTTAAGTGCATGAGTTCCTTTCTCTAGGTCTTATTAGTTTGTACAAATGCTTTATATTTACATGTTAAGGCCTCAATGTATTGCAATACATGGGTCTGATTTGGATACTAATTAAAACAAACAAACTATGTTAAATTAATAAACAGTTATAAGACAATTCTGGAAATGTGAATTCTACATGGATATTTGGTGATATTGAGGACTTAACTTCAGGTGTGTTAATGGTATTGTGGATTTTTTTTTAAGGAGAAGAGTCTATCTTTTAGCGATGGATATTTAAATATCTACATATGAAATGATGTTATCTGGGTTTTGCTTGAAAATCATCAGAGTAGAGTACAGGAAGTAAGAGGATAGGGATATTGATGAAACAATATCAGATGGTTATATCAAGTTTATTGTGCTGTTCTCTCTTGTGTGTGTGTGTGTGTGTGTCTGTATGTATATATATATGTATATACACATATATATATGTATACACATATATGTATAGTGGAAATTTTCTGTAATAAAAAGTTTTAGAAAATAAGGTCCCCATTCAGCTAGTTTTATTTGGTTTAGGTTCAAGATTATATAAAAGTTTAGTAATAAATTTCTCTAGATTCACTTTAATCTTTTCACAAATATAAAAACTATTATGACATTCCTCTTTTTATAAGGATATTATCTCAATTATTTTTCTTATCAATGCTTCCAGGAATATATTCCGTACTTGTGGCTCTAATGGCTGGCAAGGCAGAAGTAAGATATAATCCTGCTGTTATACAGCCCCCAATGATAGCAGAGTTCATCAGAGAACTCGGATTTGGAGCCACTATGATAGAAAATGCTGATGAAAGAGATGGTGTTTTGGAACTTGTTGTAAGTAATCATTTTTGTGTTATTAATACAATTTCCAAGAAAAATTCTGGAGGAGGATTCAGAAAATAGTTTCAAAGATATTTAAGGTTTGAGAAAATAAAGCATAAAAGGAAAATTAAGGAAACTGGAAAATAGAAGGATAGGATATACTTAATGGTGGCCTTAAAGCATGGAATGTAAGAAATAATCATATGTTTATTAAGAACCAACAAAGAAGAATTAGGTTTGAATAAATAAATAAAAATCAACTTTTAAAATACAGTATGATTCCTATCTAGTAGCATAGAAAAGAAGAAATTTCAACTGCATTGAAAGCTGAAATTTTGTAATGAAGTCATAAAACCAGGTGGAAGGTATATTGGTGTACCATGGTCATTTTATTTCTATACCTTAAACAATTAAAACAAAAAAAATTAACCCTGTACCAAAATTGGTATTAGGTCAATCAAAAATTTGAATGTAAAAAATAAAACAGTGAAATTACAAGAAGAAATATTTAGTGCCCTTTTCCCAGTCTTTTAGTATAAAAACTTCAGACATCAAGAAAATCAAAAGAATTGTACAGTGGACACCGTTATATACACCACTTAGATTCTATATTGGCATTTTAGTGTATTTGCTTTACTATACATAAGTCTGTTAATCCATTGTGTGAACAATTTTAGATTCACAAAGTTGCAAAAATAATAGGGAATATCTATGAAGCTTCTACCCAGCTTTTCCCAATAATAACATCTAATCTATCACTTAAAAAATAATATTAGAGTGAACATGACCTTTCTAAACATCATACAAACCCAAAAAGGAACGATTGATAAATTCATGTACATAAAAATTTATTTTTGGATGGAAAAACACCATAAACAAAGTAAAAAAAACAGGTAAAATAATTTATTTCTTATCATAGATGGTTAATTTTCTTAATGTACAAAGAACTGTTGTAAATCAGTTAGAACCAGCAACCCAAAAGAGAGATAGTAAAGGATATGAACTGACAGTTCACAGAAAATCAAAAACATTACCATTTTAATGGTAATTACCATATGAAAAGATGTTCACCCTCACTTGTTATAAGAATAAAGCAAATTAAAACTGCAATGAAATACCTTTTTCAACCTATTAAATTGGTAAAGGTAAAAAACAATTTTGTTAACTCTGTGTCATCTCTCATAGATTGCAGTTGGAGGGTCATTGCAAGCTGTCAACAGGGGAATTAAGCAATATTTATGAAAAGTAAAATTGTACATCCCTTTGCTTTTTATAGGAAGTTATCCTACAGACATAGTTGCATATGTATGAAATGACATGTATGCAAAGATGTTCATTATAGTATTTTGGGAGGGGGGAAGCGCAAGAGGAAGAGATGGGGAGAGGGGCAAAGGGAGACAGACAGAGGGAGAGAGAATTTCAAGCAGTCTCTGTACTTAGTGAGGAGCCCAATAGGATGCTTGATCCTATGACCCTGGGATCATGACCTGAGCCTAAATCAAGACCTGGACACTCCACCGACTGAGCCACCCAGGTGCCCCAAGACTTAATTAATTAATATTTAAAGTGAGAGACAGAGAGTGGGAGTGCGGAAGAGGGGCAGAGGAGAGAGAGAGGATCTTAAGCAGGTTTCCCACTTAAGTGCAGAGCCCAACAGAGGGCTCAGTCCTATAACCCTGGGATCATGACCTGAGATGAAATCAAGAGTCGGGTACTCAACCAACTGAGCCACCCAAGCCCCTCCGCCTGTATTTTTTATTATGGCAAAAGATAGGAAAAATCTAAATGTCAATTACCAAGGACTAGATACACAAATTACGATATGTCCATGCAGTGGGATATGAAGTAGCTATTAAAAAGAGTGGATAGCGGGGCGCCTGGGTGGCTTAGTCGGTTAAGTGTCCAACTTTCGCTTAGGTCATGATCTCGCTGTTCGTGGGTTCGAGTCCCGCGTCGGGCTCTGTGCCAACTGCCAGCTCAGAGCCTAGAGCCTCTTTCAGAGTCTCTATCTCCCTATCTCTCTGACCCTCCCCTGCTCACGCTGTCTCTCTCTCTCTCTCCTAGAAATAAATTAAAAAAATATTTAAAAAAAAGAGTGGATAGGTTTTTATTTTTTTATTTATTAACATTTTTTTCTTTTCTTTTTCTTTTTTTTTTTTTTACAAATAGTTTATTGTCAAGTTGGTTTCCATATAACACCCAGTACTCATCCCCACAAGTGCCCCCCTCCATGCCCATCTCCCCCCTCCCTCCCCACATCCATCAGTCCTCAGTTTTTGTCAGCATTCAAGAGTCTCTCATGGTTTGCCTCTCTCCCTTTCCCCTACCATGTCCGCCCTTCTTCTCCCCTATGGTCCTCGGTTAAGTTCCTCCTAATCCTCCTATACGTGCAAACATGATATTGTCCTTCTCTGCCTGACTTACTGCGCTCAGCATAACACCCTCAAGGTCCATCCATGTTTATTTTTAAGTAATCTCTACATCCAACATAGGGTTCGAACCTACAGTCTCAAGATCAAGAGCTGCATACTTCACCAACTGATCCAGGCAGGCACCCCCATTGGCTTTTATTTTTTTTAAGATTCTAAAGATTAATAGCTTTATTGAAATGTTATTCACATGCCATGAAACTCATGCTTTTAAAGTATACAACTCAGTGTTTAAAAATTTTTTATGTTTATTCATTTTGGTGAGAGAGAAAGAGACAGAGTCTCTCTGAGTAGGGAAGAGGCAGAGAGAGAGGGAAACGCAGAACCCAAAGCAGGCTCCAAGCTCTGAGCTGTGAGCATGGAGCCAGAAGCGGGGCTCCAACTCATGAACTATGAGATCATGATCTGAGCTACAGCCGGATGCTGAACTGACTGAGCCACCCAGGCCCCCCTAATTCAGTGTTTTTTTATATCTACAAACTTGCAGTTATCACCATATCTAATTTTAAAACATTTTTGTCAACCCAAAAAAGAAACCTCATGTTTGTTACTATTCACTCCTCATTCTTTATACTAAGCATTTGAGTATTCTTTCTTTTATTCCTTGGTCAGTCTAGCCAAAAGTTTGTCAGTTTTGTCAGCCTTTCAGAAAAACAATTTTTGGTTTTATTAATTTTCTCTATTTTCTCTTTTGTGAGTTTCCACTCTAATCTTTAATTTTCTTCCTTTTGCTTGCTTTATGTTTAGTTTGCTTGTCTTCTTTAGTATCTTAAGGTGAAAGTGTAAGTCATTTATTTGGGATCTTATTTTTTAATATTGGCGTTTACAAGTACACATTTCCCTCTCAGTAATGCTTTCATTTCAGGTATTATACTTTTCAATTCCAGACTGTCCACTGGGCCATTTATATAATCTCTCTGTTTATTGATACTATTTTCGGTGAGATATTGTTTTCATATTTTCCTTTAATTCTTCAGACATGTTTATCTGGCTTTTTTTAGTTCATTGGATTTTTTAAAAATTATTTTTGTTAGCTTCTTATCAAATTGGTTTCCATATAACACCCAGTGCTCATCCCAACAAGTGCCCTCCTCCATGCCTATCACCCCCCATCCCCTCTCCCCCACCCCCCTCAGCCCTCAGTTTGTTCTCAGCATTCAAGAGTCTCTCATGGTTTGCTTCCCTCCCTCTCCCCAACTGTTTTTTCCACTTCTCTTCCCCTTCCTCTTCTGTTAAGTTTCTCCTGATCCACTTATAAGTGAAAACATGATATTTGTCTTTCTCTGCCTGACTTATTTTGCTCAGCATAACACCCTCGAGTTCCATCCATGTTGCTACACATGGCCAGATTTCATTCTTTCTCATTGCCATGTAATATTCCACTGTATAGATAAACCACATCTTTTTGATCCATTCGTCAGTTGATGGACATTTAGGGTCTTTCCATGTTTTGGCTATTGTGGAGAGTGCTGCTATGAACATTTGGGTACATGTGCCCCTATGTATCAGCACTCCTGTATCTCTTGGGTAAATTCTTAGCAGTGCTATTGCTGGGTCATAGGGAAGTTCTAATGTTAGTTTTTTGAGGAACCTCCACACTTTTCCAGAGGGGCTGCACCAGTTTACGTTCCCACCAACAGTGTAGGAGGGTGCCCATTTCTCCACATCCTCGCCAGCATCTAGAGTCTCCTGATTTGTTCTTTTTTGTCACTCTGACTGCCGTGAGGTGGTATCTCAGTGTGGTTTTGATTTGTATTTCCCTGATGAGGAGGGATGCTGAGCATCCTTTCATATGTCTGTTGGCCATCTGGATGTTCTCTTTGGAGAAGTTTCTGTTCTTGCCTTCTGCCATTTCTTTACTGGATTATTTGCTTTTTGAGTGTGGAGTTTGGTGAGTTCCTTATCGATTTTGGATACTCGCCCTTTATCTGATATGTCATTTGCACCTATCTTTTCCCATTCCGTCGGTTGCCTATTAGTTTTACTGATTTTTTCCTTTGCTGTGCAGAAGCTTTTAATCTTGATGAGGTCCCAATAGTTCATTTTTGCTCTTGATTTCTTTGCCTTTGAGGATGTGTCAAGTAAGAAATTGCTGCAGTTGAGGTCAAGGAGGTTGTTTCAAGCTTTTTCCTCTAGGGCTTTGATGGTTTCCTGTCTCACATTCAGGTCCTTTATCCATTTTGAGTTTATTTTTGTGTATGGTGTGAGACAGTGATCTAGTGTCATTCTTCTGCATGTTGCTGTCCAGTTCTCCCAGCACCATCTGATATAGAGGCTGTCTTTTTTCCATTGGATACTCTTTCCGGTTTTGTCAAAGATTAGTTGGCTGTATACTTTTGGGTCCAATTCTGAGTTCTCAGTTCTATTCTACTGGTCTATGTGTCTGTTTTTGTGCCAGTACCATACTGTCTTGATGATGACAGCTTTGTTGTGGAGGCTAAAGTCTGGGACTGTGATGCTTCCCATTTTGGTTTTCTTCTTCAATATTACTTTGGCTATTTGGGGACTATTTGAGAAGAATGTTGGTGCAATTTTGATTGGGATTGCATTGAATGTGTAGATTGCTTTGGGTAGTAATGATAT